GATTGCTGGGTCATAGGGGAGTTCTATGTGAAGTCTTTTGAGGAACCTCCATACTGCTTTCCAAAGTGGTTGAACAAGTTTACATTCCCACCAACAAGGAAGTAAGGTTCCCTTCTGTCCACATCCCCTCAGCATCTTACAGAGGTTGTTCTGACAAAGATTTTCCTACATTGGGTTTCTTTCCTGGGTGAATGTTTTAATACTTGCTGAAGGTTGGCTTCTGGTTGAAAGACTTCCTCTCATGTTTATATTTATAGAGTTTCTGTAATGTGTCCAGGTCTCTGATACCTGTACAGATGGGACTTCTGGCAAAATGTTTTCTATACTCATAATTTCTCTCCTGTGTATGCTCTCACATATGCTGCAGACTCAATTCTGATTGAAAATCATTTCAAAAATGTTCTGTGCACTACTTTCTTTTCTCCTATGTGAGTCAGTTCTCTGATGAACACTGAACTGTTCCTTTCAGATCAAAGCCTTTCCACATTTGTAATATTTTTAAGATTACTCCACTGTGTGTGTCCGATGAAGCTGGATCCCTGACTACTTCGTAAAGCACTAACAACATTTTCGGGGGGCGGGGGTCCAGTTGTGGGGCCTGAACTCTGGGACTGGGCGCTGTCCCTCAGCAATTCAGCTCAAGGCTAATGCTCTACCACTTGAGCCACAGCGCCATTTCCAGCTTTTTTCTTTTTGCTTATGTGGTGCTGAGGATTGAACCCAGGGCCTCATGCATGCAAGGCAAGCACTGTACCACTGAGCCACCTTCTCAGCCCCCTATCCACATTTTTTACATTTATATTTTCTCACTTGTGTCTGTTCTCTGATGCAAACTGAGTTATGACTTTTTCTTGAAAACCTTTCCATTTATTTTTCCTACATATGATTTCTCTCCTCTTGTTGTGTGAGTGTGTGTGTGTGTGTCTGTGTGTTTTGTGATGAACCCTGAGCTGTGTCTTCTAGTTGGAGGACTCAACATCTGCTATACCATAAGGTTTCTATGCCGTTTGGGTCCTGTGTTGCAATTTCAATTTTCTTAGAGGTGAAAGACTTTCCCCACTTGGTACGATCCTAAGTTATTTCATTTGTGTGAATCAACTTATGTGTGTTAAGCTGTGAAATCTAGTTGCATTCATGTTTCTGCCCTTATGTTCTGTGATGGATGTTAAGGTGTGCCTACCAGGTGAAAGAATTTCCATGCCTGCTACATACATAACAATTCTCTCTGGTGGGGTTTTTTCTGACGGAGAGAAAGGTGTATGTTCTGGGTGAAAGAATTTCCACATAGGTTACATTCATAAAATTTCTCCTGTGTGTGCTCTCTGGTGGACAGTAAGGACTGGCTTCTGGCTGAAAGACTTTCCACACATATGACATTCATAAGCTTTCTTTCTGTGTTTTTTTGGATGGACAGTAAGATTTGACTTCCAGGTGAAACACTTTCCACACATGTTACATTCATAAGGTTTCTGTCTTATGTGTGTTCTCTGGTGGCCAGTAAGCTTTGACTTCTGGATGAAAGAATTTCCACAAATGTTACATTCATAAGGTTTTTCTCCTATGTGTGTTCTCTGGTGGAGAGTAAAGCATACCTGCTATCTAAAAGACTTTCCACAATATGACATTCATAAGGTTTCTTTCCTGTGTGTTCTCTGATGGGCAGTGAGCGAAGACTTCCACGTAAAAGGCTTTCCACACAAGTTACATTCATAAGGTCTCTCTCCTGTGTGTGTTCTCTGGTGGACAGTAAATTGTACCTTCCTGGAGAAAGATTTTCCACACAAGTTACATTCATAAGGTTTCTCTCCTGTGTGTGTTCTCTGGTGGAAAGTAAGGTGTGCTTTCCGGGTGAAAGACTTTCCACACCAGTTACATTCATAAGGTTTCTCTCCTGTGTGTGTTCTCTGGTGGACAATGAAGTTTGACTTCCAGGTGAAAGACTTTCCACACATGTTACACTCATAAGGTTTATCTCCTATGTGTGTTCTCTGGTGGCCAGTAAGGCCTGGCTTGCCAGAAAAAGACTTTCCACACATGTTACATTCATAAGGTTTCTCTCTTGTGTGTGTTCTCTGGTGGAGAGTAAGGTGTGTCTTCCAGATGAAAGACTTTCCACACACGTTACATTCATAAGGTCTCTTTCCTGTGTGTGTTCTCTGGTGGCCAGTAAGGTTTCGCTTCTGGGTGAAAGACTTTCCACACATGTTACATTCATAAGGTTTCTCTCTTGTGTGTGTTCTCTGGTGGACAGTAAGGTGTGTCTTCCAGGTGAAAGACTTTCTACACACGTTACATTCATAAGGTTTCTCTCCTGTGTGTGTCCTCTGGTGGATAGTAAGGCTTGACTTACAGGTGAAAGACATTTCACACATGTTACATTCAAAACGTTTCTCTCTTGTGTGTCTACTCTGGTGGACAGTAAGGTGTGAATTCTGAGTGAAAGACGTTCCACACACATTACATTCAAATGGTTTATCTCCTGTGTGGATTCTCTGGTGGACAGTAAGATATGCCTTACAGGTGAAAATCTTTTCACACATGTTACATTCATAAGGATTTTCTCCTGTTTGTGTTCTTTGAGGGAGAATAAGGTGTGTCATCTCGGTGAAAGACCTTTCACACTGTTTATATTCTTCAACTACAGACGACACATGAGGTCTATATGCAGCACATATCTTACCAGGTTCACTGAAAGCACCCATGTTCTGACACCCAGTGAGCTTTTCTGTCCTCATCCCTAAGGAGTTCCCATTATTCTTAATCAGGTCTGACTTCTGTTTTGAGCTCAAATTAAAACTTCTTATAAGTCTCACTTTTTCCTCCCCTGGTTTACTATTCATGATTGCTAATTCAGAGAGATACTTATTGTGATTTTCCTGGCAGGTGCTAATCACATCCTCCATTTCTTGGACATCTAAAGTGAATAATAGAAAAATAGACAAAAACATAAATGAGATCCATAAATTCCTTAATGTAAAGATATTTCCTCACTTTCTGTTACAAGATTTTCAAATATCAAAGCATTGTTTTATGCAGAATATATACTTTTCTACACAATGTAGTAATTAAGAAAGTAGTACTGATATTTTACAATAGAAAACAATGTTTTCTGTTTTTCAGATTTTTCTATTTTTCTCCAGGAAATATTTACTGAAATTATTCATCTACGTACTCTTAAAGCTTCCATTCTGAATTTCACTCTATGCCCAGCACCACTGACAAGAAATTGTCCTGATCAGAGGATAGCAGCCCTAGCATACTCCTATTTTCCTCCTACCTGCATAATACTAGTTTAAAGGAAAATGAGATCGCCTTTTCTACATTTCTCATTGTGTTTTTTCCTTTAAGAATGAGTTCTCTAAAGACAAGAGAATTGCTAACAATAACTACACTGGCACACCAAATTCAGTTTGTCTCCACGTGAATTCTGGATTGACAATTCCTTGAGAAAAAGGATCACCTACTTCTCTGCCATACATGACTCAGGGGCACTAGGAATACTATTGCTCTGTACAGCTCAAGTTAAACAGACCAACTGGGCTCTGGACCCATCATTACCATTCAAAATGCTTTAACTCACCTGTGAAATTCTCTTCTGAGCCTTCCCTTATCCATGGTTCTGCACCTTGCTCCAGCTTGACAATCAATTTAGGTTTAGGAACACCAAGCCCTGTGATTAAGAAATAGTGGAGAAGTATTGATCTTGCTGGGTCATCATTAATGTAAGGTCGCAGACATCATGTTTCCAAGGTTGCTACTAAATCTTATTTGTCAATTGTTTTTTTTGGGGGGGTACGGTTGTGGGGCTTGAACTCTGGGCCTGGGTACCGTCCCTCAGATCTTCAGCTCAAGGCTAGCACTCTACCACTTGAGCCACACCGTCACTTCCAGCTTTTTTTTCTGCTTATGTGGTGCTGAGGAATCGAACACAGGGCCTCAAGCATGCAAGGCAAGCGCTCTACAACTGAGCCACCTTCCCATCACATGGTTTCTCAATTCTTAACAGCTCAATTGTGGATTTTCCCCAGGTTTGTTTTATTGTGCAAATTGTGTGGCTTGAACTCAGCTCTTTTGCTCAAAGCTAGCATTCTACTAGTTTGAATCTTAGCTACATTTCTAGTATTTGAATGGTTAATTGAAGATAAGAGTCTCATGGTCATTTGTCTACAGTTGCTGCCTTCAAACCAAAACCTTCAGATTTCAACCTCCAGAGTATCTAGAATTCAAAGCTTGAAGCACTAAACTTTATATTGGTTTGGCTTAAAAATACACACTTTCAACTACTGATTTCCACATCATAATCAGTAGTAATGTATATTCTATCTAGACTGTAGATCCACCTACAATAATCATTCCAAGTCTGGGAAGTCAGTCTACTATTAGGGGAACATAGTTTAGGACTTTTGTCCAACTACTGATTTGCTTTCTTAAAGAGTGAGAATAAAATTAGCTCTTGAGTTACTTGTAATCAAGTTGAAGCTTCCCTTAGAAAAAAATGACACTTCCCATGGACTGGAATCTTATCCCTAAATAACATAAACAGTCTAATGTCTAGTAAAATAAAAAGCACTTGATCTTCCAAATAAAAATGACCTTTGCTTACCCAAGGACATGAGGTTGCTATAGATCTCCAGCATCACATCTCTATGAAGTGTCCTCTGACCAGGATCCAGATCCTGCCACTCCTTCCAGGTGAAGTCCACAGCCACATCCTCAAATGATATCAAATTCTGTAATGGCACATATCCATCAAGAAATCAGACCTGGGTTATGAGAACTCCAATATGGAATTTCTTTATGCTGCAGGTATGCTTTTGTCTGACATAAAAGGTTCACAGCTTGCTGTGTTATCTATTCCCTGGGAGGATTAAATAGCAAATTAGAAATATTTGACAATATATAAACCTGGTCATTAAAAATACACAGATTTGTAGGGGGCTGGTGGCTTATGCGTGTAATCCAAGCTACTCAGGAGGCTGAGGTCTGAGGATCATGGTTCAAGGCCAGTCAAGGCAGGAAAGTGCAGGAGACACTTATCTCCAATAAACCACTAGAAAACTGAAAGTAGCACTGTGACTCAAGGGGTAGAGCACTCACCTTGACCCGAAGAGCTGATTGACAACAGCCAGGCCCAGAATTGAAGCCCAGACCAGTAAAAAATTACAGTTTCCCTAATGCATGCAAACACATTTCTGCTGCTAGCAATAGAGACAAGGTAAAAATTTTACGGACAGCTGGGAAGGTGGCTCAGTGGTAGAGCACTTGCCTTGCATGCATGAGGTCCTGAGTTCTACTCCTCAGCACCACATAAGCAAAAAGAAAAGAGCCAGAAGTGGCGCTATGTCACAGGTGGTAGAGCAATAGCCTTGAGCTGAAGAGCTGAGGGAGAGCACCCAGACAGAGTTCAACCTCAGGAACAGACCCCCCCCAAAAAAAAAATTCTAAGGAGACAATAATCAGGCATGACAACAATAAGTCTAAGGAGGTATCTTAAAAATTATATTATCATTTTTGATAAAATTTTAGTACATATCAGGGTAACAATGAATTACACAAATATTTTTCCTGCATTTACATATACTGCATCATTATAAATCCTATTTACATCTACTATTAACAAGTATTATAATAAGCAAAGAGAACACATTCAGGATATCACATGGAATACAGAACATAGAACATGACGAGATCTATGAAAAGCAGTGTCCACATGAATGTTAAAACACACAGTAGCAGTACTTCAGAAAGAAGCTAATGATTTTTGGGGCCCTTATAAGATTTGATTTGGTTCCCATATAAAAATATCCTAGGTTGGGCTGGGAAGGTGGCTCAGTGGTAGAGCGCTTGCTTTGCATGCATGAGGTCCTGGGTTTGATTCATTAGCACCACATAAGCAAAAAGAAAAAGCCAGAAGTGGCGCTGTGGCTCAAGTGGTAGAGTGCTAGCCTTGAGCTGAAGAGGTGAGGGACAGCGCCCAGGCCCAGAGTTCAGACCCCACGACTGGACACCCCCCCCAAAAAAGAAAAAAATATCTTAGGTTAACCATGTTTGGTTTAAATACTAAATATTGAAATGTGGTCATAGATACCCTGATATTTCCTTCCTACATAAAAAAGAACTGCTACCATGAAGTTTTGTAAAGTTTCCCTACATTCTACATTACAAAATATAGGTTGGAGGGGAATAAAATGTTCCTTGACACGATTTTCATTTTAATAGGCCTTCATGGACGGTGGAGGCAAATTTATGCAGGGTCAAGGAACACTCAAGATGACAAAAATTATAAATATGACCAAATGATCAAATGTGGCACATATTCCTGAGTCATTTCAACAGTAGATCCCTAAGGATATATTTCCACTTTTGTTAGTTAATAGTGAAATTCCTCAGAGATCAAAATAAATTCCTGAGCAAACATCTGTGAAATTTTGCAACAAGTGATATTTCTAACAGAGAAAACCTCATCACAGTATTATTTTTTTTTTATCAAAAGTAGTTCAAATCTTAAACTGGCAGTGAATGAAAATATTCAAAAGCAGTGGGAAGGAAAAACAAAACTGAATACCACATCAAATGAAGTTAGACCACAGATAACAGAAGCAGGAGAAATCAAATTTTCTTGTAGTGTATCAATTGGGGGAAGGAACTACTTTTCTGTATGGAACTCTGAAGTTGACCTGCAGGGGGAAAAGGATTGAGAGATTGGAATTCCAGCCTGACAGCACTGAGAGCACTGACAGCTGGCTGCAGAAGGCTTAAAAGAGAATTCTGGAGAGGGTTCAGAAACTGGAGTGAAGGCCTTTTCCTTAGTTTTGGAAAGATAGCAGCTGAAACTGAGGTGCTGTTGACCTTGAAGGCTAGGTAAGGTGAACTTCATGTCTGCATTTTCTCTGGGCACCAGTCTTCTGTCTCAGGAGAATAAGGAAATATGTTTCCCTCACAACCTGTTGTGGCTCTGATTGTAATATTAATATAGATACTTCATTTTTACATGTTATCAATAGTAATCTTCCCTATGTGCACTCAAGGAAATATTCTTGCATGCTGGCACCCAGGGACCAAGTGCCAGAGAGTCTTCAAAACCCTAATTTCCACTAAGTCTATCTGTTTATGTTTTTGTGTTTCTCTAATTGTCTTTGGTTCTGGAATCCTGTAGAACTCTCTAGGAAACAATTTTCCTATACAATGAGTAAGAAAAAATGCTAATCATAAGAGCCATGTCAGCAAAGTAAAACTGATCACTAAGAAAAACTAGCTCCCAGATAGACCATTTGAAGAAAAGAAACAACTGAGACACATATGGAGGAAAGATGGAATGAAAAAAGTAAAAAAAAATGATTCAAAGATACATACAAAGAGTGAGGAAGAGAAAAATAACCAACACTAGTCAGTAGAAAATCAAGAATTGAGGGAGAATATAGAGGAAAGTAATCTTGTGAGGATACTTTAGAAAACAAACAGGGTTTTGTAGGAAGACCATAAAGTTTAGCAACAAATATAGTTTCAAGTAAGA